GCACAAGTGGGGAGGAGAGGGAGAAGCAGGCTCCCCACAGAGCAGGGAGCCCAATGCGGGACTCGATCCCAGGACCCTGGGATCATGACCTGAGCTGAAGGCAGACACTTAAAGACTGAGCCACCCAGGCGCCCCTATTTTTATTTTTATTTTTAAAGATTTTATTTATTTATTTATTTGAGAGAGAGAGCATAGGAGCAGGGGGAGGGGCAGAGGGACAGGCAGACTCCCCACTGAGCAGGGAGCCAGGACATGGGGCTTGATCCTAGGACCTGGAGATCAGACCTGAGCCAAAGGTAGACACCTAACCAAGTGAGCTGCCCAGGCGCCCCAAGATGCACTCTTTTTAAAAAAGATTTTATTTATATATTTGAGAGAGCATGAGAGAGAGCAGAGAGCACAAGCGGGGGTGGGGATGGGGAGGAGGGGCGGAGGGAGAGGGGGATGCAGACTCCCTGCTAAGCAGGGAGCCCTATGCAGAGCTCCATCCCAGGACCCTGGGATCATGACCTCAGCTGAAGGCAGACGCTTAACCGACCGAGCTACCCAGATGCACCAAGATGCACACTCTTTACTGATTTTATTTATTTATTTGACAGAGAGAGACACAGTGAGAGAGGGAACACAAGCCGGGGGAGTGGGAGAGGGAGAAGCAGTCTTCCCTGCCGAGCAGGGAGCCCGATGCAGGGCTTGATCCCAAGACCCTGAGATCATGACCTGAGCCGAAGGCAGACGCTTAACCCACTGAGCCACCCAGGCGCCCCAAGATGCACACTCTTTACTGTGACATTAAAAATTCTTCCCAACATGGTAATAATACCATATAGAGGCTATTACCACCCTTTTGACAAATTTGATTACTCAACATTCTCTGAACATACTTTGCACTTTGTCTCTCTCATCCTTTGTGCCTTCAACAAATGCATACTGAGGCCTCCATTAACAACGACAAGCAGCAACCATTTACTCTTGCCGGACACTGTTCTAACTTTACACATATTAACTCATTTAATCCTCATAACAACCCTATGATGCAGCAGTACTAATGTTACACACGTTTTATAGAGGAGGAAACGGAGATACAGAGAAGTTGAGTAATTTGCCT